CCAACAGCATCAACTGAGCTATAAAAACTAACTCCCTCCACTGCTCGCAGCGTTTTCTCTAACATGTTCATCTTCTATTCAACTTTTGAGGCTTCTAAAGTTCCCTTCTCCTTAGGCCTCAACTTTTCTTCTAGATCATCCAAATTAGGGATTGATATTGGTTCTACTACCTTTTCAGTAAAGATAAAAATTTTCCTTGATTTGAAGCTGATGGTATTTTGGGATATGTGTACCCTACAGGATAGGTGAACCGCTGTGGTGGTAAACCTTATACAGATTAGGCTTGATATGGCTCGAAACCAGGAGGGCACAATGGGCCATCCTCTTCCTATTGGCTAGCATTCTCCTCTATTACCTTTCCCTTGGTTAGCTTGTTCAAAGCTTCTAATATCTTATTTAACTCTTCTTCTAACTTCTCTTGAGCTTTCTCTAATATCTCAAAATGATTGAAATTTTCTTATTTCATTTGCCTGGCTTGAGCTCTTGTGTTGTATTGGTGAGTGGAGTTGCTTGGTGGAGCTATCTTTGAACCTTTAGCACCACAATTATGATTAAAAAATGCTATGCTATGCTTTATGTATGATGCGTTGATGCACGAATGAAATGTATATTTTTCTGAATGAAATCTAATATGAAATGGATGCAAATAATTGTATTAAAACATGATCATGAAAATAATACAGATGCATAAAATTAGACAAACAACATAGTTAGTTTCATGGATGAAATAAAAGTGATGTTAATGCATAATGTTACATATGATAATGAAAATGATGCACAAAGTCAGACAATCAAAATGATTAGATAAACACCCTTTTTGTCTCTTAATTTCAGGGTATATCTATCATTGGGTAGAAAGGGCTCTATCCTAGGTTTAGGCACTCTTAAGGCTCACTATATGTGGTTTAAGGTCAAAGTCTAAAGGTTCTCAAATTGCTCCTTACATCTTTGTCCATCACAGACTAGTAAGGCACCCTAATCCTCACCCATTATAGGCTACAAGCGAAAAAGATTCAATTTGAGTGGGAGTATTTCGCTAGCCACTGCGGAGGCATTAGACCTCACGAAAGTAATAGGTACTTTACTCCCTCCTAGAGGGACGGAGCTCGGGTATAGAGCTCATGTTATGCACATGCATATGAATGACATAATTAACAAGGTAAATAAACATGAATGAATAATAACACATATATACAAACAGGTTCAATTTTATTAGGCTTTTGGATAACATAAATTATTTGCTAACCTGACTCTCAAAGTCCCCAGCGGAGTCGTCAAGCTATCATAATGTCTAGATCCGGGGATCTATCGCTAGACATTGACTTTTAAGGAGTCGCCACCAATCTTTTTTATCTAAGTACGATTGGTCACCTAAAGAATTTATCCTTTCAGGGAACACCTAAGTTTAAAGGCCCCTAAAAGAATAGGTTCAGGTCTACTAACCAGAACAAAGTTCGGAAGTTCGGTTACGTGTGAGGAAGGTTATAGCACCCTCACAATGCCCATTAAAAGATGGTACCAGCATAATTTTGTGTTATCCGATAAGCCTTAAAATTTTATCAAGTAATTAACTATTAGAAATTATTCTCAATTGACTCTAATACTTTTAGCAAAAAATTGATAAAATTTCCTCACCTCAGAAGTATGCAAGAAAACTACTGTTTCACTTCCAGAGGCTCCATCGTCGGATTATTTAAAAAAAAATCAAAATCAAAATAAAAAGGAAGGAAAGAATGATTGTTTTTGTGCAGGAAAATTGATACTTTCAACTTTTCCCAAAAAAAATATTCTTTTGAAACTTTAATTTCGAGGAAAATTGATACTTTCAACTTTTCCTCAAAAATTTATTTTTTTAAAAATTTATTTTTAAGGAAAATTGATACTTTCAACTTTTTCCCAAAAATATTTTTTTGGAAACTTTTTTTTTCAAGAAAAATTGATACTTTCAACTTTTTCTCAAAAATATTTTTTTGAAATTTTATTTTTAAGGAAAATTGATACTTTCAACTTTTCCCCAAAGATATTTTTTTTAATTTTTTTTAAAGAAAATAGAATAATAAAACAAAATAAAAATGAGAAATAAAAAATAAATAAATAAAGAAAAGTAAAACAAATATAAAAATAAAATAAAGATAAAGAACATTAAATAAACCTAATCTAATAAATATAAATAAATAAATAAAATAAATTTAAAAAAAAAAACCTGGAGCGGCTCGGAGTACGACTCAGCTCAAAGAAGAGAAACGGCTCGGGGAAGCGGCTTGTGACCTCGGCTCAGCTTGGCTATCGGCTCGGAGGAGGGAAGACACGCGCGGGTCAGGAAGCGTGTCAACGTTCGAGTCGGGTCGGATCTTGGTAAAACGCGCGGATCATTTGGGTTACTTAAGGCAAAAACAACGTCGTTTTGGAAGGGTATATAAGGCTCTTCCCTCTGTTTTTCGGTAAAAACCTTCTCCCCTCTCTCTCTTCTTCCTTTTTCCTCTCGCTTCTCTCTAAATGGTCGAAGAACTCAGGTTGAATGTTCACCGGATTCTGAAATTTTTCATCGGAATTTGGATTTTTTCATCGAAAGTTCGTCAGAAAGTTGGTCGATTTCTGGGATCCTTCATCGAAAACTAGGCAGCTCACCGAAAACTTTAAAGTTGGCTGGAATCATTGCCAAAAAATTCAACCTTTGCCGAAAAAATCACCGGAATTTAAAAATTTTTCAAAAATTTCCAGAAAAATTTTCGCCAAAAATCTCTAAAAAAATTATTTCCGATTCTCACACCTATTCTAACACTTCTCAACCTTCTTTTAGCCTTCAAAAACTCTTCTATACGCCTTTTTTTCTCTCAAATCAGTAGCTTTTTGCTCACTGTTTTTTTGTCTTCTATTCTGTTCCAGAGGGTCCCTTTTATAGGGATTGATCAGAAGAATTTCTGATCAATCCCAATTCCTCTTTGGATCGGGATTCAATCATTGAATCCAACATGGACTCTTTTGATTGAATCCCAATCCAATTTCCAACCAGATAAATAAAAAAAATAAAAGAAAAAATCAAACGAAAATAAATTAGATAAATTAAAAAAATTAATAGATAAATTAAAATTAAATAACAGATAATTACATAAATATTAACAGGAAAAAAAAAGAAGAAGAGAAAAAAAATAATAATAAAGATATATACATATTAATAAATACATAAATACCTAAGATAAAAAATAATAATAAAAGAAAAGAAAAAAAATATATACATATATAAAATAATAATAATAATAAAATAAAATAAAATAAAAATGTAAAATACAAAAAATAATAATAAAAATAAAATGAAGAAAACAAAATATAGACTTACCCATTTGGACCAGGCCTAATTGATCCGGGCCTGGACCAAATTAGGTGTCTACAAGTAGTAAATTAATTAATCATTGATAATTTTATAGTAAATTATTGCAAAATTAATAGTAAATCAATTAAAATTTTATAACAAATCATCAGTAATTTAATAATAAATCATCAACAATTTAATAGTAAACCAATTATAAATTAGTAGTAAACCAAATATTAACTTGTAATAAATCATTGATAATTTAGCTATATATCATTAATAGTAGTAAATCATTAATAATATAGTTGTAAATCAATAATAACTATTATTAATAAATTTTTTATACTTGAAGTTGGCAGGAATTGACCTCAGTTACTAACAGAAGCGAAACTAGAAATTTCATTTTGGGAGGTTAAGATAAACCTACCACAAATCTATTTAATAAAAAATTTAATGAAAAAATTATAAATTTGAATTAAACAATAATGTTATTGTATAAAAAGAAAATTATCTTGTACTAGAACTAAACTCATACTTTCCTACTGTAATCTATTGTTAAATATATGATGATACATATTTTATAAATAATTACTCAAAATATATCATAAATTATCAAAAAATTACTAAAATTACATTAACAGGTTACTAAAATTTTGTTGAAGATTATAAAAATTGTATCAATAGTTACCGATATCGTATCAATAGTTACCAAAATTATATCATAAGTTACCAAAATTGTATTAAAATTACCAAAAGTTTATCAAAGGTTATCAAATTTTACTTATATTAATCAAAATTAAAATTAAATTATTAGTATTTATTATTATTATTATTATTTTAGTATAAAAAATTATTTATTGACATGAATTTCTAAAGATTGGAATTACTTGTGTAGTATGCATGTATCAACTTCTAAAATATAATCTAATTTATATAATTAGCTGACAATATTCTAGAAATGATATCAAAAGTTTATTAAAATTTTGTTAAAAATTATCAAAATTGTATCAATAGTTATCAAAATTATATCATAAGTTACTAAAATTGTATTGAAGTTACCAAAAATTTATCAAAAGTTATAAAATGTTATTTATATTATATCAAAATTAAATTATTAGTATTTATTATTATTATATAAAAAATTATTTATTGACATAAATTTATAAAGATAAGAATTACACGTGTATTATGAATGTATCAACCTCTAAAATATAATCTAATTTATAATATCAGCTGACAAAATTCTAGAAATGACACTAATGCAAGAAAATTTTGAGTTGTAATTTCATTTTATTTTTACTAAAATATAATCTAATTTATAATATCAACTGGCAAAATTCTAGAAATGACACTAATTAATAATGCAAGAAAATTTTAAGTTGTAATTTTATTTTATTTTCTTGTTTCCTTTGATTCCTTTATGATTAAATTTTATTATACAAATCTATCAAAAAAATCCAAATGAAGTCAAAAGCGGGCTTCTAAAGCATCAGTCTTCGGCCCATAAAAGCTTATATAAAATGGAAATTAATGTTTAGTACATAAAAACATCTGAATTCATTGTTAAGAGACGAAAATGAATTCCACAGCAAAGCTTTTAATCCTTCTCACAAGTTTTTTGTGCCTGTTTCTTCTCATAACTCTTTTCAAATTCCTTCACAAATATTGGTGGATACCTTTACGCATACAGTACGCACTGAGTTTACAGGGAATCAAAGGACCTCCATATGAATTCATCCATGGAAACAACAAAGCATCTGTCCAATTCAGAAAAGAAGCATTAAACAAACCTATGGCTGCCTTAACTCACGATATATTTCCCAGGGTGCTGCCTCAGTTTTACTCCTGGACCAACATATATGGTAAGATGATTCCGATGTTTTTCACTTGCAATATGTTTCTAACTTCAAATAAAAAAAATGAACCCTTTTTTTTGTTCTTTTATTAGGGAAGAATTATCTTACCTGGGAAGGAACTCAAGCTCAACTGGTAATTTCAGAACCAGAACTAGTCAAAAAGGTTCTGAAAAATATCGAAGGATCTTTTCCGAAAAAGAAGGCTGAAGGCTTTATCTATAAGTTACTTGGGGACGGGCTTCTGACAACCGAAGGTGAAAAATGGGCCAGGCAAAGGAAGTTGGCAAATCATGCTTTTCATGGGGAGAGCTTAAAAGTAAAACTTCGAACAAAGTCTACTTCGTACTGACATTTAAGAATTATGAATTAGTTTCTTACAGAATGGATGGTTGTATTTGGCAGAGCATGAATCCAGCAATAATTGCTGCCGTTGAGACAATGCTAGAGAAGTGGAAAGGCCAAGAAGGGAAAGAGATCGAAGTGTTTGAACAATTCAGGTTACTGACTTCAGAAGTTATATCTAGAACAGCTTTTGGTAGCTGTTACTTGGAAGGGGAGAAGATTTTTCAAATGTTGACTAAATTATCAATACTTGCTACCAGAAATCTCTATAAATCTCGGATTCCTGGCATCAGGTAAGTTAGTAAGTTAATTTGTAACGTTCTAATCTCTCGTCGAGGCTTTATAAAGATCTGTTTAAATCTATGAAAATATTAAATCCATAATGTTTTTGTGAGATAAAATCACCAAACTTTCAAGTAAAATTGAATAATATCTTGGTCTGGTGTGGTCTTCACATGATTAATCTAGACTCTGGAGTTTGCCCCTGATTTCCAAATAGAAAGGAAATACCTAGAAGTCACTTGAGTGCAAAATCTGAAATATGATCACAAAGGATTAAGTTTTTCTCCTTTTCTCCATGTATACGGCTTATACCTTTGTTTGCTTTTGCAGCAAGATTCGGAAAACTACTGATGAAATAGAATCAGAAAAGCTTGCTAAAGGAATACATGAATGTGTGATGGAAATGATTAAGAAAAGGGAAGAGAAAATAGTGACTGGAGAAGCTGACAGTTTCGGCAATGATTTTCTAGGATTACTTGTAAATGCTTTTCATGATTCGGATGACAAAAACAGGCTCTCCGTAGAAGACTTGGTAGATGAGTGCAAAACATTCTACTTTGTTGGACAAGAAATGACTAAGTCCTTGCTCACATGGACAGTCCTGCTTTTATCAATCCATTCAGATTGGCAAGAGAAAGCAAGACGAGAGGTGATCGAGGTATTCGGTGACAAAAATCCTCATTCTGAAGGCATTTCCAAACTAAAAACTGTAAGCAAAACCGCAATCTCTGACGATTTCAATAGCGTGCATTACCAGCATTTAATAAATTATAAATTTATTTTGCTCACAGATGAACTTGATCATCTATGAAACCCTGAGATTGTATCCTCCTGTATTTGCCATATCTAGAAAGGTTGCAAGAGATGTTCAATTGGGAAAGCTCATTATTCCTGTTAATATGGAGATTATGATCCCGATCATAGCACTTCACCATGACCCTCAACTATGGGGTGATGATGTGAATCTTTTCAAACCAGAGAGATTCGCTGAAGGTATTGCCAAAGCTACCAAATACAATACGGCTGCATTCAGTCCCTTCTCATTGGGACCTCGATCTTGCGTGGGTATGGGCTTTGCAACCACAGAAACAAAGATTGCTCTCTCAATGATCCTACAACGCTACACTATTACTCTCTCCCCAGCCTATATTCATGCGCCATTTCCTCAATTTATGCTTCAGCCACAACATGGACTTCAAGTAATGCTTCATTCTTTACAGAGTGATTTGTAAAGTTTTTAAAGCAATAGCTGCTTCTATTAGTGTCCAAAATGGTAAAATAGTCATGATAAGTGAGAAACAGTTGTAAATAATGGTGTGATCAATGTACAACACACAGTTCTTACCAGCCATTTTTGGCTCCTAATTATGTATCAATTCAAGTTTTTAAATTGGGTGATCCTTGACATGCTGTCAGAGCCTTTCAGTTTTAAACAATTTCTTCCTCTTTTCCATATTTCTTGGCCACTTACGGGTGCAGGGAACCGGGTAACTGGTGGATTTGTCGACTACTGTATCCAGAATGCCAGTTGCATGGCAATTGCAGTAAGAAGGAAAAGCAAAAAACTTGGCGGTTATTTGATCACCACTAAGCTGCACAAGGATTTCTGGCTCTTGGCTTAAACTTTTATTTGGGAGTTAGGGTAAACACACCATGAATCTATTCAATAAAAAAATTAGTGAAAAAATTTCAAATTTGAATAAAATAATAATGTTATTATATAAAAAGAACATTATCTCGTATATTATTAATGGATTTTTAAATTTCATATTTCATAGTTATAAACATATAACAATATATTAGTAAATTAATAATAGGTTAATAAAAAAAGTGATAACTTAGTAGTTAATAATTGATAACTTAATAATAAATTAATGATAATTTAATAGTAAATTAGTGATAATGTAATCACTACAGGGGGTTTGGTTTTTAATAACATTTTTTTAACTGTTTAGTGACGTTTATTAACGCCACTATAAGGCTGCGACGTTTGCGAAAAAACGTCACACAAAGTGTCGCCTATACATTCGTCGCTATAAATAATGACATTTTCGAAAAAATGTCTCAATATTAACGGTGTTTGTATGTGAAGTACCGCCATTTTAATGGCGTTTATATCTTAGAGGCGCAGCTATTTCAATTACGTTTTTATGAGAAAAACGTCATTTTGTTGTAGTTAATAGTTAATCAGTTTCAGTTTAGTAGTAATTAATTAATAAACTTAGTAATAAATAATAAATAACTTAGTAATAAATCAATAATAATTGTGTTATTAATAATTGAAAACTTAAAAGTAAATCAATATAATTTAGTAGTTGCTGATCATCAATAATTTAATAGTTAATCAATAAAATAACTTAATAGTAAATTATGAATAATTTAATATAAATAAGTTATAACTTGATAATGAATCATGGTTAATTTAGTAATAAATCAATGACATTTTTTAGTAAATAATAAAAAAAAATTAAGTAGTAAATCAATGATAACATAATAGTAAATCATTAATAATTTAGTGGTAAATAAATGATGATTTAGAAGTAAATTAATTAATCATTGATAATTTTATAGTAAATTATTGATAAATTAATAGTAAATCAATTAAAATTTTATAACAAATCATCAGTTATTTAATAGTAAATCATTAATAATTTAATAGTAAACTAATTATAAATTAATAGTAAATCAATATTAATAAATCATTGATAATTTAGCTGTATATCATTGATAGTAATAAATCATTGATAATATAGTTATAAATCAATAATAACTTAATTATAAATTATTAATAAATTTTTTATACTTGAAGTTGGCAGGAATTGACCTCGATTACTAACAGAAGCGAAACTAGAAATTTCATCTTGGCAGGTTAAGATAAACCTACCATAAATCTATTTAATAAAAAATTTAATGAAAAAATTATAAATTTGAATTAAACAATAATGTTATTATATAAAAAAAAATTATCTTATACTAGAACTAAACTCATACTTTCCTATTGTAATCTATTGTTAAATATATGATGACACATATTTTATAAATAATTACTAAAAGTATATCATAAGTTATCAGAAAATTACTAAAATTACATTAAGAGGTTACTAAAATTTTGTCGAAGATTATAAAAATTGTATCAATGGTTACCGATATTGTATCAATAGTTACCAAAATTATATCATAAGTTACCAAAATTGTATTAAAATTACCAAAAGTTTATCAAAGGTTATCAAATTTTACTTATATTAATCAAAATTAAAATTAAATTATTAGTATTTATTATTATTATTATTATTTTAGTATAAAAAATTATTTATTGACATGAATTTCTAAAGATAGGAATTACTTGTGTAGTATGCATGTATCAACTTCTAAAATATAATCTAATTTATATAATTAGCTGACAATATTCTAGAAATGATATCAAAAGTTTATTAAAATTTTGTTAAAAATTATCAAAATTGTATCAATAGTTATCAAAATTATATCATAAGTTACCAAAATTGTATTGAAGTTACCAAAAATTTATCAAAAGTTATAAAATGTTATTTATATTATATCAAAATTAAATTATTAGTATTTATTATTATTATTATTATATAAAAAATTATTTATTGACATAAATTTATAAAGATAAGAATTACACGTGTATTATGAATGTATCAACCTCTAAAATATAATCTAATTTATAATATCAACTGACAAAATTTTAGAAATGACACTAATGCAAGAAAATTTTGAGTTGTAATTTCATTTTATTTTCTCTAAAATATAATCTAATTTATAATATCAATTGACAAAATTCTAGAAATGACACTAATTAATAATGCAAGAAAATTTTGAGTTGTAATTTTATTTTATTTTCTTGTTTCCTTTGATTCCTTTATGATTAAATTTTATTATACAAATCTATCAAAAAAATCCAAATGAAGTCAAAAGCGGGCTTCTAAAGCATCAGTCTTCGGCCCATAAAAGCTTATATAAAATGGAAATTAATGTTTAGTACATAAAAACATCTGAATTCATTGTTAAGAGACGAAAATGAATTCCACAGCAAAGCTTTTAATCCTTCTCACAAGTTTTTTGTGCCTGTTTCTTCTCATAACTCTATTCAAATTCCTTCACAAATATTGGTGGATACCTTTACGCATACAGTACGCACTGAGTTTACAGGGAATCAAAGGACCTCCATATGAATTCATCCATGGAAACAACAAAGCATCTGTCCAATTCAGAAAAGAAGCATTAAACAAACCTATGGCTGCCTTAACTCACGATATATTTCCCAGGGTGCTGCCTCAGTTTTACTCCTGGACCAACATATATGGTAAGATGATTCCGATGTTTTTCACTTGCAATATGTTTCTAACTTCAAATAAAAAAAATGAACCCTTTTTTTTGTTCTTTTATTAGGGAAGAATTATCTTACCTGGGAAGGAACTCAAGCTCAACTGGTAATTTCAGAACCAGAACTAGTCAAAAAGGTTCTGAAAAATATCGAAGGATCTTTTCCGAAAAAGAAGGCTGAAGGCTTTATCTATAAGTTACTTGGGGACGGGCTTCTGACAACCGAAGGTGAAAAATGGGCCAGGCAAAGGAAGTTGGCAAATCATGCTTTTCATGGGGAGAGCTTAAAAGTAAAACTTCGAACAAAGTCTTTTTCGTACTGACATTTAAGAATTATGAATTAGTTTCTTACAGAATGGATGGTTGTATTTGGCAGAGCATGAATCCAGCAATAATTGCTGCCGTTGAGACAATGCTAGAGAAGTGGAAAGGCCAAGAAGGGAAAGAGATCGAAGTGTTTGAACAATTCAGGTTACTGACTTCAGAAGTTATATCTAGAACAGCTTTTGGTAGCTGTTACTTGGAAGGGGAGAAGATTTTTCAAATGTTGACTAAATTATCAATACTTGCTACCAGAAATCTTTATAAATCTCGGATTCCTGGCATCAGGTAAGTTAGTAAGTTAATTTGTAACATTCTAATTTCTCGTCGAGGCTTTATAAAGATCTGTTTAAATATATGCAAATATTAAATCCATAATGTTTTTGTGAGATAAAATCACCAAACTTTCAAGTAAAATTGAATAATATCTTGGTCTGGTGTGGTCTTCACATGATTAATCTAGACTCTGGAGTTTGCCCCTGATTTCCAAATAGAAAGGAAATACCTAGAAGTCACTTGAGTGCAAAATCTGAAATATGATCACAAAGGATTAAGTTTTTTCTCCTTTTCTCCATGTATACGGCTTATACCTTTGTTTGCTTTTGCAGCAAGATTCGGAAAACTACTGATGAAATAGAATCAGAAAAGCTTGCTAAAGGAATACATGAATGTGTGATGGAAATGATTAAGAAAAGGGAAGAGAAAATAGTGACTGGAGAAGCTGACAGTTTCGGCAATGATTTTCTAGGATTACTTGTAAGTGCTTTTCATGATTCGGATGACAAAAACAGGCTCTCCGTAGAAGACTTGGTAGATGAGTGCAAAACATTCTACTTTGTTGGACAAGAAATGACTAAGTCCTTGCTCACATGGACAGTCCTGCTTTTATCAATCCATTCAGATTGGCAAGAGAAAGCAAGACGAGAGGTGATCGAGGTATTCGGTGACAAAAATCCTCATTCTGAAGGCATTTCCAAACTAAAAACTGTAAGCAAAACCGCAATCTCTGACGATTTCAATAGCGTGCATTACCAGCATTTAATAATTTATAAATTTATTTTTCTCACAGATGAACTTGATCATCTATGAAACCCTGAGATTGTATCCTCCTGTATTTGCCATATCTAGAAAGGTTGCAAGAGATGTTCAATTGGGAAAGCTCATTATTCCTGTTAATATGGAGATTATGATCCCGATCATAGCACTTCACCATGACCCTCAACTATGGGGTGATGATGTGCATCTTTTCAAACCAGAGAGATTCGCTGAAGGTATTGCCAAAGCTACCAAATACAATACGGCTGCATTCAGTCCCTTCTCATTGGGACCTCGATCTTGCGTGGGTATGGGCTTTGCAACCACAGAAACAAAGATTGCTCTCTCAATGATCCTACAACGCTACACTATTACTCTCTCCCCAGCCTATATTCATGCGCCATTTTCTCAATTTATGCTTCAGCCAGAACATGGACTTCAAGTAATGCTTCATTCTTTACAGAGTGATGCGTAAAGTTTTAAAAGCGATAGCTGCCTCTATTAGTGTCCAAAATGGTAAAATAGTCATAATAAGTGAGAAACAGTTGTAAATAATGGTGTGATTAATGTACAACACACAGTTCTTGTTGCGTCTGAAGCAATAATCACAAAATACAGAAGCAATAGACAACAATCAATAATAAAAAACACAAGAAAAATAAAGCACACCAATATTTACGTGAAAAACCCTCCAGTGTAGAGGGAAAAAATCACGGACCACCAGAAAAATCTTCACTATCAAATAATAGATGTACAAAATTTTTCTCTAGCTAAAACTAGAGCTAACCAACAACTAGAGAAATAATTGGAGAAATCTCACCAAATAAGTGACTCAACAAATACACCATGGATTTGTTCCTAGAGAGCTTCAAACCCGATCTTCACCATTCAGAATGTAGAACTCTGAATCATAAACCTCCTGACAAGGTTCCAACTCAATCGAACCACGGATCGACTTCTGTTCAACCAACTCTCCCTTTTCTTTTTTCTCTTTGCTTTTTTTTACTTTTCTTCTTTCTCTACTTGGTTTTTAACACACCCTTAAAACAACCTCACTTTTTTTTTATTAAATAGCTAGGGCTCTGTGTAAAATGAAAGATCAAGGCCCATGGCCTTTACTTGGTCCAAAACCACTTACATGAGGTTGGACCCCATTTTCCTAACAATCTCCCCCTTCAGCCCCATTATGAGGAGATTCATCACCATAGTAGTTTCATTTGGAACTTACCTTGGCTAGGAAACTCATTCCGACTAAGTTACTACAAAGCTCAAGTTTTTCCCTAGGAAGTATCTTAGTCAATATATCTGCTACATTCTTATCAGTATGAACTTTCTTCAATAGCATCTGTTGTTCTTCAATCACTGAACGTAACCAATGATATCTAACATCAATGTGCTTTGTTCTAGCATGGTACATGACATTCTTACTCAAATCTAAAGCACTTTGGCTATCATAAAATACCACATACCCTTTCTGATTCAACCTCAATTCAAGAAGAAAACGTTTCATCCAAAGCATTTCTTTACATGTTTCGGTTGCTGCAATGTACTCAGCCCTGTAGTTGACAAAGCAACACACTTTTGTAACTTAGATTGCCAAGATGTAGCTCCTCTTGCAAAAGTGAACAAATATCCTGAAGTAGATTTTCTACCATCAAGATCGTCTGTCATGTCAGCATCAGTAAACCCTTCTAGAACTGGTTGTGAAACTTCATAAGTCAAGCACATTTTTGAAGTACCCCTCAAATATCTAAAAATCTATTTCACTACTTTCCAGTGAATCTTCCCCGGATTAGAAAGAAATCTGCTCACTACACCAACTGCATGAGCAATGTCAGGCCTTGTACAAACCATAAGATACATTAAAGAACCGACTGCAGAAGAATAAGAAATACTAGACATAGCTAGTTGTTCTTTCTTAGACACTAGACAAGATTTCTTAGATGAAAATGGTTGGCAAATGGACTGCTAACTGATTTAGCATGTTACATGTTGAATCTACCAAGCACTCGTTCAACATACTTTTCTTATGACAACCACAGCTTTTCAACTCTCATATCTCGGATAATGTCCATACCAAGAATCTACTTTGTTAGACCTAAATCCTTCATATCAAAGGACTTAGACAATTGTTCTTTCAACCTACAAACCATACTAGCATCTTGTCCTACAATCAACATATCATCAACATATAATAATAGGATAGTGAAGTTACCATTAAGAAATTATTTAACATACACACAAGAATTCGTTGCTATTCTTTTATAGCTATGACTCACCATAAAAGAATCAAACTTCTTGTACCACTATCACGAAGCTTGTTTCAAGCCATACAAGCTTTTCTTCAATTTGTAAACTAAGTGCTCTTTCCCTTTCACTTCAAAACCCTTAGGCTGATTCATATAAATGTCCTCCCGTAAATCACCATACAAAAATGTTGTTTTAACATCAAATTGCATCTATATCTTATACATTTGCAGTATAGTTTTCCCCTTACAACTACCATAAATCCTTTGAAAAGCTTTCACTGTCCATTCTTTTGTCGACTTTCATATCCCTCATTATCAAGGACATTAATAGCAAGTAAGTTCATTCTCATATCTGAAATGTGTCTGACATCTCTCAAAGTCAATATGCAACCTGTACTAGTTTGTACAACAATATCACCAATCCCAATAATCTGACACAATCTTATTTTTTATCTTGGTACAACCAAAATCTCCTACTTTGTAAGTTGTAAACAACTCTCTCTTAGGAACACAATGATATGTCGCTCTTGTGTCAACTATCCACTCAATATTGAGATCACTAACATGATTACAATCACCATGTGTACAAATCAAAGTAACTGAATCACTATCTGAATTCACTGCTACAACATTATCATTATCTGAACTCTTACTTTCTCATCTTTTCGCTCTTGTTTCAAGATTTTACAGTTTCATTTTATATGACCTGCCTTACCATAATAGAAATACTTCACTTTACCTCTAGACTTGGATCTATGTTTAGACTTACCACAACCTTTTGAGTTCTGACCTCTGTCGATATTTCTACCCCTGTTCTCTGTGACCAGAGCTTGATTCTCAAGGTCTACATCTTTTCGCCTTACTTCTTCATTAAGCATATTATCATTTATCATCTCCAATATCACCTTATAATCAGGAGCTGAATTAAAAACAGTCACAACTAGAGTATTTCAGCTGTCTGGCAATGAACCCAAAAGAAATAACACCTTTATTTCATCATCCATCTTAAGCTCCATAATAGTTATCCGATTAAATATATCTTGAAAATTACTCAAGTGCTTTGTAACAGATCGTCCATCCCTGTACTATAAAGTTACAAGTTTTTTAACAAGCATAATTTTATTCATATCTATTTTTCTCTCATACAATACTGTTAATTTTTTCTAAACAATGTGAGCATCTGACTCCTACGCTACAGGATAGAACACGCTGATATCAACTCATTTTCTGATTGTAGCCAGCGTCTTCTACTTAGCTTCTTCCAGCTTTCATCTTTTATATCTGTTGGTTTAGTCGAATCACTCAATCCTGACTCATACAAATCTTTGCAGTATAGATGATCTTCTATCATAGGCTTTCAAATTCAATAATTTGATGCTGTCAATTTTATCATGAAACCTGTATCACCTTCCATGATCTCAAATAAAATTTGTTTCTATCCTGATTGCTTCTGTATCGATATCTCAAAATAACCCTCACTCTGATAGCACTTGTTGTGCCTGAAGCAATAATCACAACAATACAGAAGCAATAGATAACAATCAATAATAAAAAATATAAAAAAAATAAAACACACCAAGATTTACGTAAAAAACCCTCCAATGTAGAGGAAAAAAACCACGGACCACCAAAAAAATCTTCACTATCAAATAATAGGTATACAAAGTTCTTCTCTAGCTAAAACTAGAGCTAATCAACAACTAGAGAAACAACTAGAGAAACAATTAGAGAAATCTCACCAAATAAGTGACTCAACAAATACACCATGGATTTGTTCCTAGAGAGCTTCAAACCTGATCTTCACCGTTCAAAATGTAAAACTCTGAATCATAAACCTCCTGACAAGGTTTCAACTCAATCGGATCACGGATCGACTTTCGTTCAACCAACTCTCCCTTCTCTTTTTTTCTCTACTTTTTTTTACTTTTCTTCTTTCTCTACTTGGTTTTTGACACACCCTTAAAACAACCCCACCTTTTTTTTTATTAAGTAGCTAGGGCTCTATGTAAAATGAAATATCAAGGCCCATGGCCTTTACTTGGTCCAAAATCACTTACATGAGGCTGAACCCTATTTTCCTAACAGTTCTTACTAGCCATTTTTGGCTCCTAATTATGTATCAATTCAAGTTTTTAAATTGGGTGATCTTTGACATGCTGTCAGAGCCTTTCAGTTTTAAATAATTTTTTCCTTTTTTCCATATTTCTTGGCCACTTACTGGTGCAGGGAACCGGGTAACTGGTGGATTTGTCGACTACTGTATCCAGAATGCCAGTTGCATGGCAATTGCAGTAAAAGGAAAAGCAAAAAACTTGGCGGTTATTTGATCACCACTAAGTTGCACAAGGATGTCTGGCTCTTAGCTTAAACAAAACAGCATTATTTTTTTAATTAGCCGTCAACTCTTTTCAACAAAGAGGATTCTAATCTTACTCCAAAATATATGTGATTTTCCTAGTGTTATTGTTTGTAAATAATAATATTACAGTAAAAGGAACAAGAGGGTTTGGTGTGTGAATGAAAAAGTTTGTGTTGTGTCATTATTGATGGCCCTGGATTATGGCTAAGGGAAAGACAATAGGGTCCTTTAACCCCTTTAGGATCTCTTCCGGATGTTACAATGGCCTAAAAGAAGCACATGGTTTTACAACTTTTGTTTTTTGGAACTCATACCTAAATCTGCAAAACTCCATAACTATATCTTGCATGGTTGTACTTGCAATAATTTGGCTTTTTGACAAGGTTTCAACTTGAATCTTGCAACTTTTTTTTTATCAGTTGTTTTACAATATAAGTGCTTTCAATCTGATTAACTGGTAATTTTTGTGTGATATTGCCATGTTTGTAGACCAACTCATTCAAAAAGGCCATTTCAAAGTGGGGATATAATTGACCACCAAATCAACCTTGTATACTAGAATGTTCATGATATAAATGATAAAGATTTCTAGAAATCAGAATTCAAATTTTAGCATATTCAAATATCAAATATCAAATATCAAATCTCATTTTAAAAAAATTATTGTTCAAGATCCTCTGTGATACTACATCAAATTTGCAAAATTAAAGTTCACATATTCTTTGATCTTTTCTACATTTCAAAAGAATAAACCATTTTGTTTTCAAACATTTAGAGTTTTTCTAATATTTTATAGTATTATTATTTTTTTTATTTCTTTACATTGTGATGTTAGAAACTATTAAACACAACATTGAAAATTTTCTT